TATTATCATCTACCCTCACCTTCATTACATTTCATCATGTTCTGAAATATCTACTATTCTATATATGTTTGAAATACAAAGTAGAAGTACTCAGATCTTGAGTAAAAGTAGAAGTACTCAGATCTTGTACTTGAGTAACAGTAGAAGTACTCAGATCTTGAGTAAAAGTAGAAGTACTCAGATCTTGTACTTGAGTAAAAGTAGAAGTACTCAGATCTTGTTCTTGAGTAAAAGTAGAAGTACTTAGATCTTGAGTCAAAGTAGAAGTACTCAGATCTTGAGTCAAAGTAGAAGTACTCAGATCTTGAGTAAAAGTAGAAGTACTCAGATCTTGTACTTGAGTAAAAGTAGAAGTACTCAGATCTTGTTCTTGAGTAAAAGTAGAAGTACTCAGATCTTGTTACTGAGTAAAAGTAGAAAGTACTCAAATCTTGTTCTTGAGTAAAAGTAGAAGTACTCAGATCTGTACTTGAGTAAAAGTAGAAGTACTCAGATCTTGTACAGATGTACTGAGTAAAAGTAGAAGTACTCAGATCTTGTACTTGAGTAAAAGTAGAAGTACTCAGATCTTGTACTTGAGTAAAAGTAGAAGTACTCAGATCTTGTTCTTGAGTAAAAGTAGAAGTACTCAGATCTTGTTCTTGAAAGTAGAAGTACTCAGATCTTGTACTTGAGTAAAAGTAGAAGTACTCAGATCTTGTACTTGAGTAAAAGTAGAAGTACTCAGATCTTGTACTTGAGTAAAAGTAGAAGTACTCAGATCTTGTTCTTGAGTAAAAGTAGAAGTACTCAGATCTTGTACTTGAAAGTAGAAGTACTCAGATCTTGTTCTTGAGTAACAGTAGAAGTACTCAGATCTTGTACTTGAGTAAAAGTAGAAGTACTCAGATCTTGTACTTGAGTAAAAGTAGAAGTACTCAGATCTTGTACTTGAGTAAAAGTAGAAGTACTCAGATCTTGTACTTGAGTAAAAGTAGAAGTACTCAGATCTTGTACTTGAGTAAAAGTAGAAGTACTCAGATCTTGTTCTTGAAAGTAGAAGTACTCAGATCTTGTTCTTGAAAGTAGAAGTACTCAGATCTTGTTCTTGAAAGTAGAAGTACTCAGATCTTGTACTTGAGTAAAAGTAGAAGTACTCAGATCTTGTACTTGAGTAAAAGTAGAAGTACTCAGATCTTGTTCTTGAGTAAACGTAGAAGTACTCAGATCTTGTTCTTGAGTAAACGTAGAAGTACTCAGATCTTGTTCTTGAAAGTAGAAGTACTCAGATCTTGTTCTTGAAAGTAGAAGTACTCAGATCTTGTTCTTGAAAGTAGAAGTACTCAGATCTTGTACTTGAGTAAAAGTAGAAGTACTCAGATCTTGTTCTTGAAAGTAGAAGTACTCAGATCTTGTTCTTGAAAGTAGAAGTACTCAGATCTTGTTCTTGAAAGTAGAAGTACTCAGATCTTGTTCTTGAAAGTAGAAGTACTCAGATCTTGTACTTGAGTAAAAGTAGAAGTACTCAGATCTTGTTCTTGAAATTAGAAGTACTCAGATCTTGTACTTGAGTAAAAGTAGAAGTACTCAGATCTTGTTCTTGAAAGTAGAAGTACTCAGATCTTGTTCTTGAAAGTAGAAGTACTCAGATCTTGTACTCAGAGTGTAGGAATAGTCAACAGAGAGAATAACGGAAAAGTAATAACAACAACAACAGTGATAACGACAATAAGAAACAACAGTCAGAAGGAGTTGAACTTGTTGTTGTTTATCTGTTGATCTCTTGCACAGCTAAGGGACCTGCGATCTAAGCTCTCGTCCTGATCTGTGTATAATATCGGAGGTACTCCATGTGTTCATCCTCTGAGTTAATAATAATACGTGTTGATGTGTTTCTCGTTGCAGCGGCACTTTAATGCTTCAGTTGGATGGTTTTCCTACTGGAGACGCTGTTAAGGTAAACTGAAGATACTGTGACCTTGTTTGACCTTCAAGGTGAATTATGACTGTCAGCATCACACAGGAAGTCCTTATAGGGCCGTACCTCAGGCTGCCATGGCGTGTGTGTGTATAATGTGTGTGTGTGTGTGTGTGTGTGTGTGTGTGTGTGTGTGTGTGTGTGTGTGTGTGTGTGTGTGTGATGTGTGTGTGTGTGTGTGTGTGTGTGTGTGTGTGTGTGTGTGTGTGTGTGTGTGTGTGTGTGTGTGTGTGTGTGTGTGTGTGTGTGTGTGTGTGTGTGTGTGTGTGTGTGTGTGTGTGTGTGTGTGTGGTGTGTGTGTGTGTGTGTGTGTGTGTGTGTGTGTGTGTGTGTGTGTGTGTGTGTGTGTGTGTGTGTGTGGTGTGTGTGTGTGTGTGTGTGTGTGTGTGTGTGTGTGTGTGTGTGTGTGTGTGTGTGTGTGTGTGTGTGTGTGTGTGTGTGTGTGTGTGTGTGTGTGTGTGTGTGTGTGTGTGTGTGTGTGTGTGTAGGCTGATCGATCAGCTGGCAGACTGACTGGATCTATGATGGAGCTGCAGACGCTACAGGAGGCTCTGAAGGTGGAGATCCAGATCCATCAGGTACACAAACACAAACTATAGAAAATATACATTAAACATAACAATAACAAGATATAAAGCAAGTTATTATATACACATAAGTATGTGAGAGATGGAATATTAAACTGAATCATATTCTATTCCCATGTATATCGACTTCTTGCACTATTTTTTATTTGTATTTTGGTATCGATGGAGGAGCTCAGGTCAGAAGAATGTCACTGCCATTTCTACCCTGTAGCTGCTGAGCATCTGATGAGAACACCTCTGACCTCTGAGTAGGGATGGGTATCGAGAACCGGTACTAAGTCAATACCAGTACCTGATTGGATGGTATCGGTATACCGTTAAGCCGCTGGACAAACGGCGCTGCTATCGGTATGTGTGTTACGTCTACTTCCTTAGTTTAACTTTGAACCATTCTGGTTGGTTGGGAACCCTCATCCCGTGCGATGTATCCGGTTTGAGACCCCTCTGATTGGCCACTGTAAATGCCACTCGTCATCTCTCTCAACAGCACTCTTATTATTGTTGTGAGACTCCCGCAGGCATGGCGGACAGAGCGAAGCCATCGAAGGTCTGGGTGCACTTCAAAACATGTAGTGGCGATAGTGCAAGGTGCAATGTATGTACTCAATGAGTTGCTTGTAAAGAGGGAAACACGAGCAACTTCATGAAGCATTTGCAAACGAGACACTCATTGAATCTAAAACGGAGCAGCGTCTTCGGCAGCCTAACGATGTGGCTGCTAGCGATAGTGCTAATAGTGCTAGCGGGCTTCAGCCGCGCCGCCATGTGTAAATGTGACCTGAGCGAAGGCTCGCAGGCAGGTTAGCTGCTGCGCACGGGTAATATGTTTTGTTTACCTGAGTGCAGTCTTGCAGGCACATCGCCTTGTCTTGTTTGTTTGTTAACACTGACAGTGTATTGATGTGAGCTCCTACACCTATAATAATGTGGCCTTTCATTGAATGCTTTATAAACCAGTTAAACTCACAGATGTCATTGTGAATTGGAAAACTGCATTTAAATGTTGTTAAAGGTCAACGTTTCAATGGTTCAGCAATTGTTGGTCGTTTTCTAGGAATTGACATATTTTAAGCTCAAATACTTTGTTCTACGTTTAAACCTTCAGACAGTTTGACGTGTTTCAGTTCAGCACATCATTCATTTTGTGATGATTTAAAAGTACAATCCAGAATAATATACGCACTCGCCTTTATCTTTTTGCCATCTTAGCCTTTTGACCAATTCCTTCAATTCCCAATCACAGTTTTGCATGATGTCACTGTAGGCCAATGTTTGAAGGGTCTCTTGTCGAGCTAGGTTGTCCATTTGAAATGTCTGGATGAAGATGTAACTGATTTACTCTTTTCATCCTCTGTCTGAGGGAAACCCCAAAAGCATGACCGGGCGAGCCAGGCCTCTTTAAGTTATTTTATTTATTTGTGTCTGCTTTGAGAAGCTAATGTAAGTTATACACAGGGCTGCACATAACTGGTGCGCAGGTGCGCATGCGCACCTCTGCCAAAAAAAGAGCACCGGGTCATTTGAAAAAAGGCGCATTTGCGCACCAACATGGAGAGAGAAAGAGAGGAGAGAGAGAAAGAGAGAAGAGGAGAGAAAAGAGAGAAGGGAAAAGAGAGGAGAGAGAGAAAGATATTTGCAAGTTGCATATGAACTCAGGGCCGGCCCGTAGCACTGGCGTTATAGATGTTCGCCTAGGGCGCCAGATCTGGGGAGGCGCTGCGCTGGCAGCTCTGGGAGGGAAAAAAAACATTTTTGACCGTTGGGGCTCATCCTAATTTTCGGCCTTGATGTAACAACATTCATAATTAAGTAAATGTAACACCCTTTTCATCCCGGTTACACGTTTCATTTGCCCTGTACGATGGGCGCTGTAAGTGATGAAAATGGGGGATGTTGGCTTATCTGGCGCCCGCAGCTCACAGCCAAAGTGCGAGTGAGCGAGGGAGAGAGGGAGGGTGCACCGGTACCAGCGCTGTTGTTAGAATTAGAATATGGTGCTAGCTGCTCTAACGGATATAAGAAGAAGATGTTTCTACAATGATGTGGAGGGAGAGTCCTCTCCAGTCAGACTGAGAGGCTGATAACTACAGCTCAGTGAGGTAAAGGACTCTTAGTGTTTAGATAGTTCACTTTAGTCTAAGTTATCTCAGTGGGTCTCAAACGTTTTGATCACAATTTATGTAAACACATATTTCCAAGGCACTCCTTTATAATTATTGGGATAAACAGGTTTTAAATCATTCCAATGTATACTATAGGACAGTAAACAAAACATATCCTTTAAAACTGGAAAGATTAAAAAAAAATGCATAAATAAATAAATGTTAAGGTAAAATAAGATATGAATGAACAACACAAATAAAATAAGTTACATTCATTTGTTATTGACTATGGTAGGTTATTGGTTATGTTCACATACTTATTTGATTACATCCACTTGTCTAAGATGACAACAGAGACTTTCGACCCAAACCCAGCTGTTGACTTGTGGATGCAAGCAGCTAATCACAGACTCAACCAGAGAGAAAGAAGTAGGCCTACATCATCAGCTACCATGTCTGACAGAGAGGAAGACAGTGAGGAGGACAGTCAGGAGGGGAGTGATGACAGCTTGTAGGATTACTGCTCGTGCTAATGTTGTCTTGTGTTCACCTCTGCATGTGTGTTCTGTGTTCACCTCTGCATGTGTGTTCTGTGTTCACCTCTGCATGTGTGTTCTGTGTTCACCTCTGCATGTGTGTTCAGTGCCGTGTGTCTGGCAAATAAAGTCAAGACCCCCTCAAAAGTTACGGTTTATTTCATTTTAAGGATGAGCACCAAGCAACATCTCCAGGTGCTCCTTTGAGAACCAGGGCAAAAAAGTTATGTGCACCCCTGGTTATACAGTTATTTCTGCAAGAAAATTACAACAAAATGACTGTTTAATCTTCACATCTTGTATTCATGTCTATAATTTTGAGCACCAAATTATTGAAAAGTATCGATAAGAATATCGAAAAATACCGATAAGCAGTATCGATAAAATCCTAACGATACCCATCCCTATCTCTAAGTGAATCTTCATGTTAGTTAGCTCTGTGGCCAGCAGGTGTCACTGTGCTCTGTGGCCAGCAGGTGTCACTGTGCTCTGTGGCCAGCAGGTGTCACTGTGCTCTGTGGCCAGCAGGTGTCACTGTGCTCTGTGGCCAGCAGGTGTCACTGTGCTCTGTGGCCAGCAGGTGTCACTGTGCTGTGTGGCCAGCAGGTGTCACTGTGCTGTGTGGCCAGCAGGTGTCACTGTGCTGTGTGGCCAGCAGTTGTCACTGTGCTCTGTGGCCAGCAGGTGTCACTGTGCTGTGTGGCCAGCAGGTGTCACTGTGCTGTGTGGCCAGCAGTTGTCACTGTGCTCTGTGGCCAGCAGTTGTCACTGTGCTCTGTGGCCAGCAGGTGTCACTGTGCTCTGTGGCCAGCAGGTGTCACTGTGCTCTGTGGCCAGCAGGTGTCACTGTGTTCTGTGACTAGCAGGTGTCACTGTGCTGTGTGGCCAGCAGGTGTCACTGTGCTGTGTGGCCAGCAGGTGTCACTGTGCTCTGTGGCCAGCAGGTGTCACTGTGCCGTGTGGCCAGCAGGTGTCACTGTGCCGTGTGGCCAGCAGGTGTCACTGTGCTCTGTGGCCAGCAGGTGTCACTGTGATCTGTGGCCAGCAGGTGTCACTGTGCTCTGTGGCCAGCAGGGGTCACTGTGCCGTGTGGCCAGCAGGGGTCACTGTGCCGTGTGGCCAGCAGGTGTCACTGTGCCGTGTGGCCAGCAGGTGTCACTGTGCCGTGTGGCCAGCAGGTGTCACTGTGCCGTGTGGCCAGCAGGTGTCACTGTGCTCAGCAGGTGTCACTGTGCTCAGCAGGTGTCACTGTGCTCAGCAGGTGTCACTGTGCTCTGTGGTCAGCAGGTGTCACTGTGCTCAGCAGGTGTCTCTGTGCTCAGCAGGTGTCACTGTGCTCAGCAGGTGTCACTGTGCTCTGTGGTCAGCAGGTGTCACTGTGCTCTGTGGTCAGCAGGTGTCACTGTGCCGTGTGGCCAGCAGGTGTCACTGTGCCGTGTGGCCAGCAGGTGTCACTGTGCTCAGCAGGTGTCACTGTGCTCTGTGGTCAGCAGGTGTCACTGTGCTCTGTGGTCAGCAGGTGTCACTGTGCTCTGTGGTCAGCAGGTGTCACTGTGCCGTGTGGCCAGCAGGTGTCACTGTGCTCTGTGTGTTTCCTGACTGTCTCCTTCTTCTTCTGCAGAAACTGGTGTCCCAGATGAAGCAGGACCCTCAGGTAAGACATATGATATGTTACCCCCCCCCCCCCCACATGTTACCCCCCCCACATGTTCCCCCCCCACATGTTACCCCCCCCCTTGTTACCCCCCCATGTTACCCCTCTAACGTGCTTGTTATAATTGCAGTTATTTAAACTCATGAGAGAATCAGAGTTTAGAGCGTGTCGTGTTTTTGACTCTCTTTCAGAACGCAGATCTGAAGAAGCAGCTCCACGAACTGCAGGCTAACATCACAGCACTCAGCGAGAAGCAGGTACACACACACACACACACACACACACACACACACACACACACACACGCACACACAGTCCTCTCAAAATTCAAAATTATGAGAATGTTGAGATTTTTCGGATTACTTCACAGTTCAAGGTGTTGTCAGAAGTAGTGTTAATTTCGTCAGCTATTTTTTAATTTAGTTTTAGTCTTAGTCCTGTGTTAAATTTCCTTTTTAGTTTTAGTCATATTTACAGGGTTCGTACGGGTGCTTGAAAATGCTTGAAATTTGACGTGGTGTTTTCAAGGTTGGGAAAGTGCTTGAATTTTGGGAATGGTGCTTGAAATTGAGATAAAGTGCTTGAAAATGTAAATACTTTACTTGTACAATAAATTGCTGTCTGACTGAATAGTTCGCTTTTTAGATTAAAATAATTGCTTCGCTTCTACATAAAACAGCTCCGCTGCGGCCTTCCCGCGCTATGCGCGCGACCTGCAAGTGTTTGTGTTGCATGTGACCTGGGCATTCTGATGAGTGATAGATGACTGTGTGCCAGGAGGTTGCCGTTTCAACGAGCGTTGGCTAGCAGAAGACAAATACAAGCCATGGCTAAGACGAGGGTCAAGCCCACGAGTAGCCTCCTGCAAAGTTTGCAACAAATAACGATGCGAGAGTCTGCGCTGACGAGCCACATGAAAGGTACGCCGTAGAAGAGCATTTTAGATTAGGCTAACGTTGCATGTTATGTTTGTTGAAGCTAACGTTAGCGAGCTGAATGGCGAACTCGATTGAGGGCTAATAATAATTGCAGGGGACAATCATTTCAGAGGAGCGTACCTATGTTATGTGCGTTACAGTCGCCATCCTGTGGTGTTCAGAGGATGAAGCACTCACGGCATTTCGTGTTATAGTCACGAAATATAATCTCTTGATTCGACACAGAGCGATTTTGAAAGCAATGTATTTCTACTGGTAGTATGTTTCGTGCCTAAACCAAATGTGACTTGCTCTCTCGAAATCAGTCACATTGACCCGAAGACACATTTTCGTTTGTATTACTGGTCTGGGGGAAGCTCGCGAGTGTGTTTGTGTATTTTTGCGTTTGTGTACCGGGGAAACACTCACAAGAAACACCGGCTGTTGCTTGCTGTGATGTTACATTAGTTCTCTGCTTGTAATTATGCCGAAGCTTCAAAGTTGTATTTATCATCTGAATTTGCCGAAACAAGTTTAATATTCTGAAAGCCAATACTTTGTTTATTTGAAAACAGATGAAAACAAACTGTCTTTTATATAAAATTGAAGTATTATACAAGTAAAACTACATGTTGCTTTAATCCCATGTAATTGTAGAATGAACACAGTCTTCCTTTGAAGATGTATAAGTCAGGTGTCTTGAGTAGCATTACCTACAAATCATTGTACACATTTGTAAATATTATTTTCCACTTGTTACCATTGTGAGGCTATTTCTATGCAGCTCTGCGTGATTTTGTGGCTACAATTCAGACTAATGCACTACCAGAGGTGGAATAAGTACTCAGATATTGTACTTGAGTAAAAGTACAAGTACTCAGATCTTGTAGTAAAAGTAGAAGTACTCAGGTCTTGTACTTGAGTAAAAGTAGAAGTACTCAGATCTTGTACTTGAGTAAAAGTAGAAGTACTCAGATCTTGTACTTGAGTAAAAGTAGAAGTACTCAGGTCTTGTACTTGAGTAAAAGTAGAAGTACTCAGATCTTGTACTTGAGTAAAAGTAGAAGTACTCAGGTCTTGTACTTGAGTAAAAGTAGAAGTACTCAGGTCTTGTACTTGAGTAAAAGTAGAAGTACTCAGATCTTGTACTTGAGTAAAAGTAGAAGTACTCAGGTCTTGTACTTGAGTAAAAGTAGAAGTACTCAGATCTTGTACTTGAGTCAAAGTAGAAGTACTCAGGTCTTGTACTTGAGTAAAAGTAGAAGTACCAGAGTGTAGGAATACTCTGTTACAGTAAAAGTCCTGCAATCAAAATGTTCCTCAAGTGAAAGTAGAAAAGTATGATCATCAAAATATAGTGAAAGTAGCGACAGTAAAAGTAGTCGTTGTGCAGATTGGTCCATTTCAGAATAATATATATGATATGTTTTATAGTGATTGATCATGAAAGTGTTCTCAAAGCTGGTGAAGGTGCAGCTAGTTTGAAGTACTTTGTATACTGCAGGGTAGCTGGTGGATTTACTCCAGGTGGAACTAAAGTCTGATTCAACACTTGATTATATTTCACATCATTCATCCACATCTGTGAAGTAACTAAAAGTATTAAATACATGTAGTGGAGGAAAAGTACACCATGTACCTCTGACTTATGTTCACTTCCAACCTAAAAGTACCTCAAAAATAGTAATCAATAATGTATTGAAAAGTTATTTGGCTGATTGTTTTATATCGGCTCAGCCAGGTTATATGGGAGGCCCAGTCTACGTACAGATCACTCATTTTGAAATATTAAACTTAGTTTTATTTTCTTGAATTTTTCATCCTCGTGTAGAAGGCTATCACGAAACACACATTTGGTTGTTTATAGCATAAAGAACATCTGATTTAATGTGAGGTAGGGAAATAATCATTTGAGTATGTGTATATAAATATGTAATTTACAACAGCTGTAAGATGCTTGAAAAGCTGGAAAATGCACCTTGAAAATGCTTGAAAAGTGCTTGAATTTGACTTTGGAAAAGGTGTAAGAACCCTGTATTTAGTCACCTTCATCCTGTTTTTATTTAGTCAAGATTTAGTCGACTAAAAGTCTGAGCATTTTAGTCTTATTTTGTCTACTTTTTGTCAATGAAAACTGTTGAGTATTCAACAAATATATAAATAAGTATTTAGTCAAACTAGTCTAGCCAAAACCAATAATTTGTCATTTTAGTATATATAAATAAATAGGATTATATCTTGTCCTTATTTGATGAAAAACAGGTTGAATGATTAAGCAGCTTTGCAGAGAGTATCAGGTTTGTGGTGTTTGTACCAGCTGTGTTTTGGCCACATTGCTTCCCTTCTGATGAAACAATGCATTCGCTTTTTTCTCCGCCTCATTGTAGCGAAAATGGGCCCAAATATCACATGGTTTCTTTCTCCCAAGCAGTGGTGGCTTTAGACTTTTCGTTGTCAGTCATTTTGACGGACAGGATCGTAACATTTCCGTCATAATCCATTATTACCCGTCGAGTGCACAATTGATCAATCACTCGCGCTGACGGGGGGGTATTCGGTTAACGCGAGTGCGACCACTGCTCCCAAGCCCTGTTGTTGCCATTTCATTTTCTGTTAAATAAGGTTAGTTAGACCACGAGTTAGACCCGAGTCTTCCTGACAGTTCAGTGTGCCGCTGCCCGGTGTAATTCAAATGTACCGCCGCGCGCAGCACAGACACACAGCTGCTGCCCAGCCGCAGCGCGGACACACAGCTGCTGCCCAGCCGCAGCGCGGACACACAGCTGCTGCCCAGCCGCAGCGCGGACTCACAGCTGCTGCCCAGCCGCAGCGCGGACACACAGCTGCTGCCCAGCCGCAGCGCGGACACACAGCTGCTGCCCAGCCGCAGCGCGGACACACAGCTGCTGCCCAGCCGCAGCGCGGACTCACAGCTGCTGCCCAGCCGCAGCGCGGACACACAGCTGCTGCCCAGCCGCAGCGCGGACACACAGCTGCTGCCCAGCCGCAGCGCGGACTCACAGCTGCTGCCCAGCCGCAGCGCGGACTCACAGCTGCTGCCCAGCCGCAGCGCGGACACACAGCTGCTGCCCAGCCGCAGCGCGGACTCACAGCTGCTGCCCAGCCGCAGCGCGGACACACAGCTGCTGCCCAGCCGCAGCGCGGACACACAGCTGCTGCCCAGCCGCAGCACAGGAAATGGAACTGTTGGGAGAAAAACTGACTATCAGAGATGTAAGGTTTTCTTTGATAATATTTCGTCTCCTCATTTTTCGTCAACGAAAGTAAAGAGAGATTTTGGCATAGTTTTTATTTAGTAAACTACATTTTCGTCTCGTCACTTTTCATCAACGATATTGCATGATGATTTCGTCTCGTCATCGTCTCGTTTTCGTCATGGAAAAAAAGGTCGTTGACGAACATATTTCGTCATTGTTTTAGTCAACGAAATTAACACTAGTCAGAAGTCCTGATGATCTCCTCTCTTCTTCCTCTTCCTCTCCTGCAGAAGAAGGTGGTGGAGCAGCTGAGGAAGGAGCTGATGAAGCAGGAGCCGGAGGGGAAGCTGTACCTCCAGACTCCTGCAGGAGGAGACGTGAAGCAGAGCCCTCAGCAGGTACACACACACACACACACACACACACACACACACACACACACACACACACCACACACACACACACACACACACACACACACACACACACACACACACACACACACACACACCACACACACACACACAGAGAGAGAGATATCACCATGAAACCTCCCCACTTCATGAATGACCTCTTGAGCTTCAACGAAACACAATTGCAACACCAAGCGTCTAAATCAGCACTCAACGAAAACATGCTAACGCTACATTAGCACATAAGTGGCGATAGCGATTTTTCCGACTTCACGCTATCTGCACAAAGCTGAGATTCCACAGACTCCATGGGTGTAAGTGTCATCACTATGCGACCAGAACCCACTGAGCTAGCAGCACAACTTCAGAGCCATAACTCTAAACACATCTTACCTCCTCCTCCTCCTTTCTTCCTCATGCTGCGTAAGCGTCATTCTAACTGACCAATGGTAATGTTTAGATGGATTTATGAACTGCCCCTCGATTCTATTGGCTCTAATGGTTGCAAAGAGGTGTCAATCACCCAAATCGACCAATGGGCTCCAGAAAGGCCCGGACTGGCCATCGGGAGGACCGGGAGGTTTCCCGACGGCCTGGCCTGCTAAGTGTCTGATTCTGCCTCACACAGGGGGACTGGCTGTCTCCATGATGTGGTCTGCCTCACACAGGGGGACTGGCTGTCTCCATGATGTGGTCTGCCTCACACAGGGGGACTGGCTGTCTCCATGATGTGGTCTGCCTCACACAGGGGGACTGGCTGTCTCCATGATGTGGTCTGCCTCACACAGGGGGACTGGCTGTCTCCATGATGTGGTCTGCCTCACACAGGGGGACTGGCTGTCTCCATGATGTGGTCTGCCTCACACAGGGGGACTGGCTGTCTCCATGATGTGGTCTGCCTCACACAGGGGGACTGGCTGTCTCCATGATGTGGTCTGCCTCACACAGGGGGACTGGCTGTCTCCATGATGTGGTCTGCCTCACACAGGGGGACTGGCTGTCTCCATGATGTGGTCTGCCTCACACAGGGGGACTGGCTGTCTCCATGATGTGGTCTGCCTCACACAGGGGGACTGGCTGTCTCCATGATGTGGTCTGCCTCACACAGGGGGACTGGCTGTCTCCATGATGTGGTCTGCCTCACACAGGGGGACTGGCTGTCTCCATGATGTGATGTGGTCTGCCTCACACAGGGGGACTGGCTGTCTACATGATGTGGTCTGCCTCACACAGGGGGACTGGCTGTCTCCATGATGTGGTCTGCCTCACACAGGGGGACTGGCTGTCTCCATGATGTGGTCTGCCTCACACAGGGGGACTGGCTGTCTCCATGATGTGGTCTGCCTCACAGAGGGGGACTGGCTGTCTCCATGATGTGGTCTGCCTCACACAGGGGGACTGGCTGTCTCCATGATGTGGTCTGCCTCACACAGGGGGACTGGCTGTCTCCATGATGTGGTCTGCCTCACAGGGTGACTGGCTGTCTCCATGATGTGGCCTGCCTCACACAGGGGGACTGGCTGTCTACATGATGTGGCCGGCCTCACACAGGGGGACTGGCTGTCTCCATGATGTGGCCTGCCTCACACAGGGGGACTGGCTGTCTACATGATGTGGTCTGCCTCACAGGGGGACTGGCTGTCTACATGATGTGGCCTGCCTCACAGGGGGACTGGCTGTCTACATGATGTGGTCTGCCTCACAGGGGGACTGGCTGTCTACATGATGTGGCCTGCCTCACAGGGGGACTGGCTGTCTACATGATGTGGTCTGCCTCACAGGGGGACTGGCTGTCTACATGATGTGGCCGGCCTCACAGGGGGACTGGCTGTCTACATGATGTGGCCTGCCTCACACAGGGGGACTGGCTGTCTACATGATGTGGCCTGCCTCACAGGGGGACTGGCTGTCTACATGATGTGGTCTGCCTCACAGGGGGACTGGCTGTCTACATGATGTGGCCGGCCTCACAGGGGGACTGGCTGTCTACATGATGTGGCCGGCCTCACACAGGGGGACTGGCTGTCTACATGATGTGGTCTGCCTCACAGGGTGACTGGCTGTCTACATGATGTGGTCTGCCTCACAGGGGGACTGGCTGTCTACATGATGTGGTCTGCCTCACAGGGTGACTGGCTGTCTACATGATGTGGCCTGCCTCACAGGGGGACTGGCTGTCTACATGATGTGGTCTGCCTCACAGGGGGACTGGCTGTCTACATGATGTGGTCTGCCTCACAGGGGGACTGGCTGTCTACATGATGTGGTCTGCCTCACAGGGGGACTGGCTGTCTACATGATGTGGTCTGCCTCACAGGGGGACTGGCTGTCTACATGATGTGGCCTGCCGACATGGCCACTTTCATACAGATCATACTAATGCCCTCGATTGGTCTCTGTGTGTCATTCAAGCTCGGGTGTGTGTATGTGTGGCGTGAGCAAGAGAGAAAGCGCGCGCACCGGTTACGTGTATTGTTGTTGTTAGCATCTGGTGCTAGCTAGCTGCGCTAACGGATATAAGGAGCTGTTTCAACAACAAGGTGGAGGAGAGTCCTCTGCTGTCAGACTGAGAGACTGATAACTACAGCTCAGGTGAGGTAAAGGACTCTCTGAGTGCTTAGATAGTTAACTTAGTCTAAGTTCTCAGTGGGTCCCAAACGGTTTGGTCACCATTTATGTAAACACATATTTCCAATTGAGGGGGGAGTGATTAGTGAAATATGCATGAATAACAAAAAAAAGAAAAGTTAACTAGGTGAAAAAAGGTAAGAAAACTTTTTAAACGGGTTGAGAGCTAAAACTAGTCTTTGCTGCTGCCTCAAAGAGGAGCAGGAGGGAGAGGAGCAGGAGGGAGAGGGGCAGGAGGGAGAGGCTGATTCAGGAGCACAGACACACTCACTCACTATAAATGAACCAAAAACAAATAAATATATAAGTTTCAATGTTTTTTCATATTGGATATGTTATTGTGATTTTATGATTATTTAAATGTATACAGTTCTGTTTCGTGTGGGTGTTTCCATAGATCTAGTCTCGTCTCTTTATTTCCTCCTCAAAGTGCACCAGATTGATGCATTTAAGGGTGCGTTCACACCTGCCTTGTATAGTCCAGTTGAATCGAACCCTGGTGCGTTTAGCCGCTTGGTGCGGTTCGTTTGGGTCGGTGTGAACGCAGTCCTCTGAAGTGAACTAAACAACCGGACTCTGGTCCGCTAAAATAGGTGGTCTCGGAGCGCTTGCTAGTGAACTCTGGAGCGGTTCATTGCTGGTGTGAACGCAGTCCGCACCAAAACATAGGAAGCGTAGTATTTACGTGTCAAGAACGCGGATATCTTCAAAATCTTTAGCGAAAGAGTCTTTCAAGACATCCGCGGTTGTTTAGTTAAAGAGTGAAGCAGAATGAAGTGTTGAACAGTGAAAAGTAAAAATGCTCCGTCAGCTACATAAAAGTAAGGACACCTGTCGTCGGTGAAACGCCCTCCTGACTGCAGAACGTCTCTCATTATGTTATAATGTTTTTTAATGGACGTTGTCTGATGATATAATCATATGTGCGGTCCGCTAGTGTCTGTTGATCTCCAGATTAACAGCAGCATGAGAATAACCTGCCGAAAGTGCCGATGCACCATGGCGGAGGCTTCGGTAGAAATTGCCAGGATTTGCGTTTTTACCCCCTTAATGTCTGACCAATGGTTGAACAGCATTTCCGTGCAAATGACTTGTGTTTAAAGTTTATAGTCCGTTTGAGTTTTGCCGTGTGAACGCCAACCGAACGTTCTGAGAAATGAAACAATGCAACAAACTGTCGTCTGGTGCGCACCAGAGAGCAGACTATTAGGTGTGAATGAGATCTAAGTCCAACATTTAAAAAAAAAAAAAATCTTACCGGGGGAGCATGCCCCCGGACCCCCCTATAGGATTTGAGGTTCACTCCCACTTAAAATATGTTCACATGAATAGGTTCCTAAATAGATTTGCACATTTTTTAAAATAGTAACCCATGTCCATATGTTTATTTTTGGGTAGTAGATTTAAATTAGAGGGCTATCACTATGGGCAGCAACGCTGTAAATATTGACAAATAAATCCAGCAAAATGCCACAAAAAACTGGTAGTGGCCAGGCTGGGTGTAATTCCCGGCCTGACTTATTGTCCCAGTCCGGCCCTGGCGGCTCCAGAGGTCCGGCCCTGGCGGCTCCAGAGGTCCGGCCCTGGCGGCTCCAGAGGTCCGGCCCTGGCGGCTCCAGAGGTCCGGCCCTGGCGGCTCCAGAGGTCCGGCCCTGGCGGCTCCAGAGGTCCGGCCCTGGCGGCTCCAGAGGTCCGGCCCTGGCGGCTCCAGAGGTCCGGCCCTGGCGGCTCCAGAGGTCCGGCCCTGGCGGCTCCAGAGGTCCGGCCCTGGCAGCTCCAGAGGTCCGGCCCTGCTGGCTCCAGAGGTACGGCCCTGCGTGGAGAATCAGAACGCACAGCACAGTGATTTCTTTGCATTTAGGAATTGTTATTTACTCTTTTGCCAAATAAGCACATTGCCAAGCTGGCAGGCAGAAAGCAGAGCCCTGAGGAGGTACTGGTCGTTCTGGCTGAAGATATCGGGGCAGACATTTATCTGGTCGACTCAGCGTCGGACGGCGAGGACCTCCTGCAGCCGGAGCGACGCCCGCACAGCCGGCACTCACATCATGATGTTCCACCAGTGGAAAGGTACGTCATCTCTTTGGTCCATTACTTATTGATCTGGTGTAAGACAGGGGGGTGCAAACTGTTTTCACGAGGGCCACGTACAGAAAGATATACGAAGGGCTGGGCCGCTCATAGAGATTTATCACCTTGTACGTTAAGTCAGCTAAATGATTCTTGATACATGAATATGCTTTGAGAAACAAACAGCTCTCCAGAGGGTTTGCTTTATCTTGTTGGCATCCCTTAAAACAGTCATTATAATAACATGAAATAGGAAGGGACGTCATCTCTCTCTTTTTATCGAGTACTTATTCATCGACCCACCTTATTGTCCTGCAGTGAATGAAGTGAACTCACACACTCAAGCTGGATGGTAACTTCCCCAGTACAGGAATCATTTACCTCAACGTCCAGTTAGTGTTACGTCTGTTTGGAGTTACATTTTCAAAAGTATAAGCCAGTGAATTCATCTGTTTGTTTTCCACTTTTGTTTTCACAGTGATGAAGAGTACGATCCTAAAATGGCTTCTGCTCCCACCTCACATCCTCAGCCATCATCTTCCTCACCTGGATCTGAATCACCCAAAGACACGCAGTCCAAAGGAAAAGGGAAAGCCTCTTCAAACCTCATGAAGCGTGTCCGCAGGTCTCCCCGAGGTGGGTCTCCAGCCCTCAGGTGGCGCAGCAGAGAGGAGAAGGACAGAGGACCAGAGCCTCGGAGGTTCATGCCAGCCAGGGTCCCCGGCCCCGCGTTAGACCCCAGCGCACCATCCCCCCCACCGCTCACATGCATGCCCATGTATTATGGGGAAGATGGCACCCAGTCCAGGAGGTACTGCAGGAGGTGCAGAGATGCTGGCTACAAGAGGGTGAAGACACCTGTCTACTGCAGGAAGTGCCAGGTCCCTCTGTGCCTCACTGCCAAGAAGAACTGTTTCACAGAGTGGCACGACTAAGCACTCACATCCAGGATGGTCTGCCAGTGTGTTGTTTTCACCTACCTCTAAAATAGAGTGGATTTCTTTTATATTGTGTTTAATGTTTGAAATAAATCTGCTCCAGTTGCAGTCAAACTTAATTTCCTCTGTATGTTTTTCTGATGAATGGGGAGAGGTATAGAGGTCTGGGTGAATGTTCAAAAGCAGTGTGGTTCCTGAGAAAGGTCAAAGGGCACTGATGGCCCTGATGTACCCAAAGGTGAGTCCGCCTGGACCTGCCTCTGCTAAACCTCTCTAAAGAATGTCAAGTTTCACTACATGAGCATCTATTCTGATATGTTGTGGTTTGGATCCCTAAAGGTTCTGGGCTCCTATCCCATCATTTTGGAGGAAAAGTCAGAACTTTGAGAAAAAATACCAACATATGAACTTTTTTTGTTTTGACTACTTCCATTCTTGAGAGGATCATAAATACATGGATCCTGAGATTGAAGCTCAAGCCGGGGACCAGGAAGAGTTTCCTAACAAATATATATTTGTGTTTCAAAGGTGTCCTATCATGCAAAAGTCACTTTCTGATGTCTGCTCTACATCACCATGTATCCCCGGAGTGTCCCCGGTGTGTCAGGAGACTCACTAAGTGATGTCTCCTCTACATCGCCATGTGTCCCCGGTGTGTCCCCGGTGTGTCAGGAGACTCACTAAGTAGGGGTTTCACAACTACCAATATTTACTAGTCGACACGTTTTTCAAAATAGCAGTCGACTAGTCGTTACGTCATAATAAAGACACACAAAGAGAGGTGTACAACTGTATTTTATATCGGAACTCATACAGTTACATTAAACACTGCATTTTAATTTGTGTTACATGGCTGAGCCCACCACCTACGGGAAACATCGATGGGGTCGGGTGCGCTGCCAGAAGGGTGGCAGTGAAAGCGGAGGGTCTCGACGGACCAGACCCGGGCGACAGAAGCTGGCTTTGGGGACGTGGAACGTCACCTCTCTGGGGGGTAAGGAGCCGGAGCTTGTGCGGGAGGTGGAGCGTTACCAGTTGGATCTGGTTGGGCTCACCTCTACGCACAGCGTCGGCTCTGGAACCTTACTTCTGGATAGGGGTTGGACTCTATTCTTCTCCGGAGTTGCTCAAGGTGTGAGGTGCCGGGCGGGTGTGGGGATACTCACAAGTCCCCGGTTAGGTGCTTCGTTGTTGGAGTTTACCCCAGTGGACGAGAGGGTCGCCTCCCTACGCCTGCGGGTTATGGGGGGGAAAACTCTGACTGTTGTGTGTGCTTATGCACCCAACAGCAGTTCAGAGTATACGGCCTTCTTGGAGACCCTGGAAAGGGTCCTGTATGGGGCTCCTGAAGGGGACTCTTTAATCTTGCTGGGAGACTTTAACGCACATGTGGGCAATGATGGAGACACTTGGAGGGGCGTGATTGGGAGGAACGGCCCCCTTGATCTGAACCGGAGTGGTGCTTTGTTACTGGACTTCTGTGCTAGTCATGGATTGGCCATAACAAACACCATGTTCGAACATAAGGATGCTCATAAGTGTACGTGGTACCAGAGCACCCTAGGCAGAAGGTCCATGATCGATTTCGTTATCGTATCATCGGACCTGAGGCCGTATGTTTTGGACACTCGGGTAAAGAGAGGGGCGGAGTTGTCAACTGATCACCATCTGGTGGTGAGTTGGGTCGAGTGGCGGGGGAAGCCTCTGGATAGACCTGGTAAGCCCAAACGTGTAGTTCGGGTGAACTGGGAACGTCTGGAGGAGGCCCAAGTTCAGGAGGCCTTCAACTCACACCTCCGGCGGAGCTTTTCGGGCATTCCTGTGGAGGTTGGGGACATTGAACCAGAGTGGTCGGTGTTCAAAGCCTCTATTGCCGAAGCCGCGGCGGGGAGCTGTGGTCTCAAGGTCCTAGGTGCCTCAAGGGGCGGTAACCCTCGAACCTCCTGGTGGACACCGGTGGTCAGGGTAGCCGTCCGACTGAAGAAGGAGGCCTTCAGGGATTTGTTATCCCGGGGGACTCCCGAGGCAGTTGCAAGGTACCGACAGGCCCGAAGGGCAGCAGCCTCATCCGTGGCCGAGGCAAAGCAGCGGGTGTGGGAGAAGTTCGGAGAAGACATGGAGAAGGACTTTCGGGCGGCACCAAAGTTGTTCTGGAAAACTGTCCGACACCTCAGGAGGGGGAAGCAGGGAACCATCCAAGCTGTGTACAGTAAGGATGGGACGTTGTTGACCTCAACTGATGGAGTGTTAGGGCGTTGGAAGGAACACTTTGAGGAACTCCTGAACCCGACAACTCCGCCCTCTATGTTAGAGGCAGAGCTGGAGTATGACGGGGGATCAACACCAATCTCCCGGGGGGAAGTCACTGAGGTCGTCAAACAACTCCACAGTGGCAAAGCCCCGGGGGTGGATGAGATCCGCCCGGAAATGCTGAAGGCTCTGGGTGTTGAGGGACTGTCATGGTTGACACGTCTCATCAACGTTGCGTGGAAGTCGGAAACAGTACCGAAGGAGTGGCAGACCGGGGTGGTGGTTCCCCTTTTTAAAAAGGGGGATCAGAGGGTGTGTGCCAATTACAGAGGCATCACACTACTCAGCCTCCCCGGGAAAGTTTACTCTAAGGTACTCGAAAGGAGGGTCAGGCCGATTGTCGAACCTCAGATTGAGGAGGAACAATGCGGATTCCGTCCTGGTCGTGGAACGACGGATCAGCTTTTTACTCTCGCAAGGATCCTGGAGGGGGCCTGGGAGTACGCTTATCCGGTCTACATGTGTTTTGTAGACTTGGAGAAGGCGTATGACCGAGTTCCCAGGGAGTTACTGTGGGAGGTGCTGCGGGAGTATGGGGTGAGGGGGTCTCTACTCAGGGCCATCCAATCTCTGTACTCCCAAAGCGAGAGCTGTGTCCGGGTCCTCGGCAGTAAGTCGGACACATTTCCGGTGAGGGTTGGCCTCCGCCAGGGCTGCGCTTTGTCACCAATCCTGTTTGTAATATACATGGATCGGATTTCGAGGCGTAGTCGTGGGGGAGGGGGTCTGCAGTTCGGTGGACTAAGGATTGCACCACTGCTTTTTGCAGATGATGTGGTTCTAATGGCTTCATCGGTCTGCGACCTTCAGCACTCACTGGATCCGTTCGTAACCGAGTGTGAAGCGGCTGGGATGAGGATCAGCACCTCCAAATCTGAGGCCATGGTTCTCAGCAGGAAACCAATGGACTGTCCACTTCAAGTAGGGAATGAGTCCTTACCCCAAGTGAAGGAGTTCAAGTATCTCGGGGTCTTGTTCTCGAGTGAGGGAACAATGGAGCGTGAGATGGGCCGGAGAATCGGAGCAGCGGGAGCGGTACTGCAGTTGCTTTACCGCACCGTTGTGACGAAAAGGGAGCTGAGCCAGAAGGCAAAGCTCTCTGTCTACCGGGCCATTTTCGTTCCTACCCTCACCTATGGTCATGAAGGATGGGTCATGACCGAAAGAACGAGATCGCGGATACAAGCGGCCGAGATGGGTTTTCTCCGCAGGGTGGCTGGTGTCTCCCTTAGGGATAAGGTGAGAAGTTCGGTCATCAGGGAGGGACTCGGAGTTGAGCCGCTCCTCCTTCGCGTCGAAAGGAGCCAGTTGAGGTGGTTCGGGCACCTAGTTAGGATGCCACCTGGGCGCCTCCCTAGGGAGGTGTTCCAGGCACGTCCAGCTGGGAAGAGACCAAGGGGTAGACCTAGGACCAGGTGGAGGGATTATATCTCTTCGCTGGCCTGGGAGCGCCTTGGGATCCCCCAGTCAGAGCTGGTTGATGTCGCCAGGGAAAAGAAAGTTTGGGGCTCTCTGCTGGAACTGCTACCCCCGCGACCCGACCACGGATAAGCGGGAGAAGATGGATGGATGGATGGATGGCTGAGTAAATAACAAACAGTAACTGGACTTAGTAAATAACAAACAGTAACTGGACTCACCAAAATCGACAGCAAAAAACTGTTTACTGAAATGCCACGTAAATCCAGTGCGTGGCACTTTACTCGCTGTCCTCCACGATAACGTCCACCTTTCCAGATTTTTGGTTTGCGTTGAGGAACACCAACGCATCGAAGGAGGCTTGACCGCTTTCGGGTGACAGTGTTGCCTGCCAGGGAAAAAACCCTCTCACTCGGGGTGCCTGTGGCTGGAATAGCCAGGTAGCTCCTCGAAAGCTTGGCTAAACGGGGAACGCGGTGCACGTTTTCTGCCCACCACTCCAGTGGGTTATCCATTGTGGGGATATGCGGTGTCCGCTGGCAGTAAACCCTAGCTCATCATCCGCATCACTGTTGACCCGTTTTTTTGCTGCTCGTCTGCCTCTGTCCTGTGCTGACGCCGGTCCGTTGCTCACTGGTGCTAGCATTACTGCTAGTGCTAGCTGTCGGCAGCGGGTGTCTCATCTTCAGATGGTTGCGCATAGCAGATGTATTTTTGTTGTACTTCAGTACAGCTGTACACAACTGACACTTCACTGTGGAGTTGGTTACATCTTTGTTGAAGTACTGCCATACATAAGAATGTCGGACGTGTTTTGAAGCATTTTGCAGCACCTCGTTTACCTCAATTTTTTTCACAACTAGTTGACTAGGGCCTACAGCGCCGACTAGTGATAAAGGTAGTCGACTAGTCGATTAGTTGGTGAAACCCCTATCACTAAGTGATGTCTTCTCTACATCACCATGTGTCCCCGGTGTGTCAGGAGACTCTCAAAGTGATGTCTCCTCTACATCACCGTGTGACCCGGTGCGTCAGGAGACTCACAAAGTGATGTCCCCTCTACATCACCATGTGTCCACGCTGTGTCCCGGTGTGTCCCCGGTGTGTCCCCCGTGTGTCAGGAGACTCTCAAAGTGTCTGAAATAAACCCCTCTCTCTTCTCCTCCGTACCCACATCTCTAAAAACGGGGAACAACGGAGCTGATCCAGATTTGCTGCGTCATGACGACATTACTAAAATGTGGGCGGGCTTTACCCCCACGGGCCAATCAGAAACGTTGCTGTCAGAAACAATGAGACGTGTTCTGGAAGTAATATGGTCTGTGTTCACATTAGCATGCTAACACTCAGAGCTAACCTGCTGGAGAGAGTGTGTGTGAAGAAGCAGGAA